AATTTGAAGGTCAATGTAAATGTATCCTTCATAAAGATCATTAGCAAAAAAGTTATTTCGTTAAAAAAAAACAAACAAATGCAGTATTATCAATACTACCTTTTTTTTTTTTTCCTTTACGCTTCCACAGTTTGCTGATTTCGTATCGTTTATATTACAAAAGAATACAGTAAGAAGCGATAAGTAGAAAAAGGAAAAACAAATAAATTTCTGTTTCATCGGAAAATGGATGTTAACTTCTATAGGAAACTGAGCAGAATGAACGCTGATACATTGTAGTGAAAAACTAGAATAAGAAAAGCAAAAAAAAAAAAAAAAAAAAGAGGAGCAAATAAAACAGTAAAATTTTTCAAGAAGAACCATCACTCCGAAACTTTCCTCTATTACTCAGCAACTTTTTTTGCTCATAACTTTGACAATCGGTTATTTCATTTAAGCACTTTTATAGTGGCTATTTTTTTTTTTTTTATTTATTTATTCCTTCTTCCTTCTTCCTTTCCTCACCCCCCGCCCCATTTTTCATCTCCTCTTTCTTCTTCCCTACTGCTTTTACAACCTAATCGGTTTAATAAGTTTTTGCTGGCAACAAAATGCTCGTAAAATAAAATTACTTTAAAGCGTCTATTTTGCCACATGACAAATGCTTTTCCTCGTCATCGATCTTTCACTATTTACGTTTTTCAAAAAAATGATGAAAGACAAAAAAAAAAAAAAAAATTGAAGCCTAAGGAAATGCATAATTGTGGTTAATGAAAAGTGGTTAATGACAAATATTGGTGAAGTGGTAAAATTATGCAACAATGGTTGTTTTTTTTTTTTGTTGAACACTGCAATTTGAAACTGTTGCTGGTGCAATTTTTACTTTTGTATCTTAATTAAAGAAATTGACACAACTTGACAAAGTTGTTGGAATGACTGTCGACTTTTGTGCCCAAAAATACTAATAAATAGTTATGAAACTACTGTAAAAATTTTGACAAAGTTATAGCAAAAAAATAATTACTGTAATTGTTTTATATCAGATTTTTTTTCATCCTATTTCACCTCAATTTTTCTCACCCCATCCTGCCCCTTCTTATTCAGCTAGTCCCTCTAATCTTATACTTTCCTACCCCATTCCGTAATAGGTTTTCGTTGAAACCAAAAAAAAAATTGCTTGTCAATTTAATATTTTGGTTGTTCATTGAAACACTGAGCAACTAAATTTAAAAAACTACTTAATCATTAACGGAAGTTAATTGAAAAAAAAAAAAAAAGAAACGCTGATAATGAGAGATAAAAGCCGAAATGAGGTCAAAGAAAAAAGCTATATAAAAAAAATCTCACCATAGCAGCAAAAAAAGAAAAAAAAAAACAAATTTTTTTGTTGAACACCATTCTCTTAGATCCTATACAGTGTTTGTGTAGAAATATAACTGTAAGGTATACAGGAATAGTGTTATTCTAAAACTTGCTCTTTTTATACATATAAAAATTTCTCACTTTTTTTTTCTTCAGCAATGACCATATAAAAAAATATACATATTTGAAAGATGGCCTAAATGTTAGTACCTCAGCGATTGATATTGGTATGCTGAAATCGCCTTTTTTTCTTGTTTTTTTTTTTGGGAAAATTAGTTGGTTTTAAACCACTACAGAGCCTTCTTTTTTCAGTCTCAACGTCGTCTCAATATATGATTATAATTTATAACAGTGAAAATAAAAGTGATGGTAATTATGAAATCATTGAGTAATCAATCTCATAATTAATTGTTAGCGTTCAGAAAACAATGTTTGTAAAAAAGAAAAAAAAAAAAAAAGAAGAAAAAAGAAAAAGTAGCTTAAAGAATAATTGTTAAGGCTAACCGGTTTTTTTTTTTTTTTGTCGTAGGCATCTGTATCACTTCACTAACGTTCCACTTCTTATTCACGCTAAGCAAAAAAAAAAAAAATGTAATTAACGACATAAACTAAACAAAAATGAAACATTGAAATACACAACCCTTTTCCTCCTATAAAAACTATCCATTTTTTTCTTTTGCCTTTTGAAACAAATGATGAAGAACGAACTTTTCACAATGACTCGATTATGTGTCGCTTTGGAAACGAAAAGTGGAACAGTAACACAAATAGTCATGTCCATTTGGCCTTTAAAATTGACACCAAAACATTCTGCTTTGTGTTGCTCATCAATACAGCAATTGTGCCTTAACGACCACATCTGATTGCTGCCTGTATTCTTCAGTTATCAATCAACTTTAAAGAAAATGTTTCCTCTCATCTATATTATGGTAAGCTAAAAAAAAATTTCTTTTTTGATACTCCGTTATAAACCAATAGCACCTAATTCTTTTGCGCACTGCTTGCTTTTTTAATGCTGACTTGTTCAGCAGATAAAGAAGCTATTTTAAGGTAATCGCCTTGGGTTCTTGGCTGGTTGAATGTCAAACTACATTAGAAAAAGGTTAGTTAAAAATTAACTGTCTTTTTTTCTTGCTTTTTTTTTTTTAAAGTTTTCCCTTATAATTGATACAACTAAAGTGACTTGAAGAACCTTGAAAACTGTTTTTTATACTAAATGAAATTCACACGATACCTGTGCCAGTCCCATCAAATAACTTTCAAGGCCTTTCTTAACCTTTCCATTGTCGAGCTTTCATTTCATCAAGCATTATCTTGAAAACTAATCAACAATACGGCAAAGAAAAAGTTGTTTTTCATCAGTGAACATTCATTACCACAAAAAAAAACACAACACTAGTAGCATCATCGTTATCATCATCATTAATGACGCCTAAATTGGAAGAGATGAAACCAGTTTAAAAGGTCTCTTGTGATGGTCCATTGGCTTTTTTTAATAATTTTTAGGATGGACAATTCTTCTCCGCCGTTTTTTGCGTTGATTTAATTATGATAAAAGGCAAAAGAACTGAATTGAGCCCATTAGCAAATGTGTTTAAAATAACGGAAAAAGTTAGGGCTATGCTCTTCAGATGACTCATGTCCGGTTCCTGTTGTTCTACATAAGGATAGCAATAAATTAAAAGGCTGAAGCATTAATCCTTCTATTCTATTCTTTCTTTTTCTAAAAAAATAAGACGTTGATAAATGATCAAAAAAATGACGTTTGGGTGGCCAAAAGAAGGAAAAATATTGATTGCATACAGATACTGTTGATCTACAGATAATTACTCGGGTTTAATTTTCGACTATAATTGGAATTTGATGTTAAAGTAAATTAAAAATGCCTGATGAGCACCCATATTTACTATTCGTGTGTCCATAATTAGTTCAGATTCAATTTTACCATTTCCCTGCATTTTCTTTTTCTTTTTTTTCAGTTTTTAAAAAATTTGATTTGAAACCATCATTGTAAGTTACCAAAGGAGTTATTATCAATTGCTTTTGCAACCGTCGAAAATCTGCTAGACGAGAAACTGACAGATTCTGACAGTAATGGTAGGGGGATGGACAAGAGGTGTCCATAATACCAGTGCTCTCTGAGAGATTATAATTAGTATACTTGCCAGCGACGAAGAAAAACAGGATGACGCCAAGTGGCTGAAGAATTTAGTTACAGAGGTGCGGGGAAAAAGTAATCGAACTTAATTTTAGAATAAATAATTTTAATAATTTTAGAACAATAATCTTCAAAGATGCCTAAACAATGCAACATTTATGTTGATAACGGTCAATTTTGCATCTGTTTAACATTATTTTAGCAGGTGCGGTAGAAAAAAGTAAAACAAGGTAAAAATTTTTTTAGCTGTGGAAAGCCCTTTCAAATTTTAGGAAATCATTTTGAACGGCATTTAGATAAGGCAGTCAAAAAAATTGTTGATAACCATAATTACGACAGTTTACACGTTTTATCCCACCATTGGTAACCAGAAACTTTTTTTAATGTTGTACCGTACCAGCCAAATAGTTTTTTTTTTCTTGAGCATTTCTCTGATAAATCTAATAATCACCTTTTGACAAAAGTTAAAATAATTTTTGTTAAAACTTCACTATCATATTTCATAATTTTTGAACACTGTTCTTTGTGACGTTTGGGTTTACGGAGAGCTTTTTATCCCCGTTAACTGATATGAAAGCAAAACCGTTTGACTGCTTCTTGACAAATTAAAATACTGTAGAGAATTTCTTGCTTTTTTTCCTCTGTAGAAGATTAGAAACTTTAATACTGTTTACATAATACTCAAAACTGACCTATTCATAAAATTTAACTGATTCGGACACTGTATATGTAATTAGGACAAAAACAATTAAAAAAAGTAATGGCTTCTCACTAAAAAAACCGAATTCAAAAAATATGAGAGCCTACTAGCCCACGGTGTACAAAAACCAACAAAATGATGCTGTAAATGACGTTATAAATTAGGAGAAGATTCGAGCAGCGAAACAAAGAATAAAACAAAGGCTCGATATATCGAAAGGAATAGATGCATTTTAAGTGCTTTATCTAACACAATTATTCCATGAGAAAAAAAAAAGTACATCCAGGTGATAATCAATTAATGGAAGTGCAATGAGCAAATTGAACATCCCCAAATTGTAAAAGAGCAACACTGATATCCTAATTCTTTTTTCCAATATTTCCTAAAAACTGCTGCAAACGAAAAAAATTCTAGATTTTTAAAGTAATTGATCTCGACGCACCAGCCAAGCAAACCTCGTTTTTTGTCAACATGCCAATCAAGCAACTTACCAAATGTGAGAATGATCGGTATTAACTTGTCTTAGCATGAGGCGATAATAAAATGCAATTTGCTCAAGTCATTAAGACACTGTAGGATAATTACATTAAATTCTTAATCACCCTTCTAATCTCCTCAGCAACCTGCAATATATCCTAAAATGATTTTTCCCAAATTGTTTTTTAAATTCAGCAATTAGATTTCTTGATTACCTTCCACCTACAACAATAAGACGTAAAAAAAGAGAACACACATCATCCGGCCTAAAAATGCCTCAAAATTATCAGAACACCTACTGCTACGTTCCTGATGTTTCCCATAATGCACTCGCTTTCCGAAGAGCATGGTTCACAACCCTGATAATACAACTTTTCGCCTCGTAAGCAGAAATCTTGAAATAATGAATAGCTGTTCTAGTTACACACCCCCAACACTTTTCTTAATATCTATCTCAAAAACCATATCCATTCAATCCGGCTAACACCATTTAGAATGCTCTGACCGATTCTGCCCTATTGGAACATTCTGCGACTTGCACGAAGTTGCTTGCCAGAAACCGCCATGCAAACCAATGACCGTGTGTCTTCCCGACAGTGTCAACGGTAAGGCTTTCAATTTTCAAAAACTTTTATTCCTTCAAGCAACTTAAGGAAAGTGCTAGGTAAAAATTATTAGGCGAAAAGAATAAACAGACTGCTTCCCAAAAATTTCCCACTCCAACCTTCTGCTGATAGCATTAATTAATATATCTCCAACGCCTCAATTCCCAAGTCAGCTGCAAAAACCCAGAAACAATCTTGCTCATTAACTATCAAAATAAAATTGCTCTACCCTCTAAAACAGCAATGAGGCAATTCTAGTCGACTTAACTATCTTCCAAGCCAGAAACTGACAAACTAGCGCCTATTACTGCTGAAACTCGCATGGCTTATAGATCAACAGCAGATTTTCAGGTTGCAAAGGCCATCCGAAGTGCCCGTCAGGACAGACATGCGTTGAAACTCCTACTTCATGTATCAGCCGAAGCTGCAAAAGAATAGCAAAATGCATAGCTGCTTGAAGTAAC